GGCAAAAAAGAAAAAAAAATCAGCGAGACGAGAGAGTGAAAATATGTACACCACTGACTTACACTCATAGAAAATCAAGTCAGCTGAGTTATATCTTAAGGCAATGCATCAAGGTAATTCACACTATCAACTTATCTACTTATTATCATCTTCTAGGCTACATGTCACATATTGTTGGTGGACAATTACATACTGTCAACTGAGCAGTCTGCGGGAAAGAAGGTGTAATTAGAGGTGAGGGTAATACAGAAAACATAAGTTATTGACACCTGTGTATTACGGCAATGTCCCCACCTGCCATCTGTCATATTCCAGATGGCAATCTCGAGCGAGATGTCGGTATACAAAAGGTGTCTTCACGGTCATCTCACATGTCTCGTGATCTTGTCTGCCAGACAACTGGGTAAAAATTATCATGAACTAAGAATGGGGATTAGTAGATAAGAGTGAATTTACTAGCATTCTTTGTCGCAGAATGGCTTTTTATAAAATTGATTATAATGCAATTGACAAATGTGGGAATAGTTATACTATAATTTATAATAATCTAACTGCTATTATAGTTTAATACGAAAAAAAGAAATGTTATTTTTAAAAATTTTTATCGATATCGGAAGTTACGTGTTTACGACTGAAAACGTTTTTACATGTGTGTAAAATGATCGATATAAATGCATCGTGCATTTTTCTCTTTTATAGTTTCTATAATAGCAATTATAAATCTATANCCATTCCAAAAGATGCGTTCCAGCAGTGTTTCCAGCAATGGCAGGAACGCTGGGAGAAGTGTATACATTACCAAGGAGACTACTTTGAAGGGGATTAGGGTTTTGTACCTCAAAGTCAATAAATTTATTTTTGCCGACCAAAGGTCCGATACTTTTTGAACAGACCTTGTATTTTTTGTTTTTCCGTCTGGATCGTACACGAATAAATCAGATGATTTTCCGACGCGTGAGCTGGCCACATACCCTATGTACAGTTGTACTGTACATGCGAAAAGCACGGATTCTTTAAATTTAGCCCACATACTCGCAGAGATTGTCAGAAGTGCGATATTCCCCATTTTTATATATATATATATTTTTTTTTAATCCTTTAAAATTTTGATTATTTAATTGCTCCTTCCTCTCTTCCTTGGCGTGTTGTGAAATTTCTGATAGTTGGATAATAAACCGTTTTATTGTAATTTGTCTTTTTAAATTATTTTGAGTCGATATTAAAATTTGGAAAAGGGGGATCCCTAGATCGGTAAAATAGGCGAATTTCCTCCTACAACTTCGGTTGTTGTTTGGGATACAGTTAAGGTTTTAACAAAGTTTCAGCGAATACATAATTAGCAAAAAATAGTTGAAATAAAGTGATTAAACAAAAATTATTACAAATATCGTAAATAACAAATGCATATATAGAGATATTTTTTGTAGGGGGAAATGGTCTTCACAATTTGAAATCGATCGAACACATAGTAAAATGCTGGTATACACGCGCGCCATCTATCGTAGGATAAATGTACTATGCCAGAAACCTTCGCGGGAGTATATTAAACAACTTCCCAAAGTTTCACGGCAATCGGATAAACGATGTGATAATGCATGAAGGACAGACAGACACAGACACAGACACACACACAGACACAGACATACATTCATTTTTATATATATAGATAAAGAAAACAGAATGTCAGAAATGTGTTTTACTGCTGTAGATGTCCGATGAAGCTCCAGAAGGGAACAAGGGCCCTGGCACCTGGCATCCTCCAAAGAAACAGGGGGAAAAACTAGAAAATTTTCCAAAAAATTTTCTAGTTTTTCCCCCTAAAATTTTTCTAATTGAAATTCGTTTTATTTTATTTATAATGTGTCATGTTTTCTATTTCTATAGCCTATTACTTGTGAATTAATGATCACATAAGGATTTTATTGAATTCGTTTTAAAAATTTTTTTATTCGTTCAACTCAGCTCTCCCAAGATTAAATCTTGAATGTGTTACTGTAGAAATCAATGCTAATTAATGAGATCCCATAACAGTTAACCATAAAATTAGCCAACTCCAGACCTCTGATTGAATATTTAGAAACTACACCTCGACAGCATTGGGATACTGCAGTAGATCAACGTTATCTTTAATAGTTGTACTTTAGTAGAAACACTATACTAAATATACTCTACTAAAGTTGCAAGTGCTTTTGTAGAACTTTTAATATGAAGGAATAATGGCAACAATTTATAGATACAGATAAAAAATAAAGATATCTCTAAAAGATATACTGGCATATAACCTATTATCTTTAGGGGTCACAAGTTAGTACAATGTCATCAGACTCTTCTGTGGCAAATCAGTGAATTTCGTATTTTATTGGTCTATCCCTATGACCAAAATCGGAAATGGCTCAATAAAGCACAAGATTTTAATTTATTTATTAAAATGTATTTCGTCCCCTTCAAAGTAATCTCTTTCCACTGCAATACACTCATACCAAAGTTTTTTTCCAATCCTCGAAGCATCCTTCAGAAATTGCAGCGAATTTTGTTTTATGGCATCAATCCACTCAAAACGGTGACCAGAAAACAGAAATTTTAGTCAATGAAACACGAAAAAATTACACGGTGTCATATTGAGTGAATACAGAGCTTGGAACCGTATCTGTTGAATTTTTTGCCAAAAACTCATGAACAACAGTACTGCATTATCGTGGTGCAAAATCCATGTGATTTTTTCGACACAAATCAGGTTGTTCCTACGAATTTCTTCACGTAAAACGACACAAAACGCTCAAATAATATTCTTTATTGACCATTTGGCCTTTCAGAAGGAATTCGTGATGCACAATACCACGACGATCGAAGAAAACAGCTAAAACGATCTTGACTTTTGACTCAGTAGCGTATCGTAGTGGGGGCGGCAAAATTTTACAATAAATAATAATAATATCTTGTAAGAATTTGAACCATTTTATTTCATATTTTCGTCCACCTACGACTCGGACCGATTGAAATGAGCACGGAATAGTGTTACCATCCATCCGGATAGTCCGGGAAACGACTCGCCGTCCGGGGATATCGTGCGCAATCAGTTGACCTTTTTTTTTTTCTTGTACGATTTATTCGTATATATATACATCTCCAATATCCAATACAGCTAGGTCACTTGCGTTACTCCTATCCAAGTCTCCCTAGTCGCTAACTGTAACTGATTTAGAACCAGCATGCACTGCACATTATTCTTCGTATTGCAAAATGACATACNTTCTGAAGTATAATTTTTTATTGTTTTTATATTTTTCAATATATTTATTTTGTTTGTACAAAATAAAGAAATAATTTTTAATGATACAATAGCCACGATTATTATTTTTAAAAGTTTACGTTAGGCTTAACATCGACGATAATTCAACGCAAAGCAACACGCAACAGAGAAAAATTTCAGGATGGGATAGGCTAATATATTTTTTCGTACATAATCGGTTATCCGAGCAACCCCTGTCCCCAATTGATTTGAATAAACGATGCTCTACTGTAATTTACATTAACAATTTTTTAATATAAATGACAAAAAAGCTTTGTCTTATAATTCTTATTAACAAACAACAGTATATAAATTACATGAACACATAAAAATGATACTTAAGATAATGTGTTTAGCACCTAGTAAGAAATCTACACTATTTGTCAAAAGTTGAAGGACAAAAGGAATGAGAATGCTTTCCTGACAATTTTCTGAAGCATTTAATAATAATGATAATAATATGCATAAATTAAATTTTATTTGAAAGCTGACTACAGTATAACAAGATAAAAGACATTTAGATATATAAATAATCAATTTATTTATCTAGATATCTGAAAATAGTTATTTCAAAACAAATATATACCATTTATGTTCAAGCATTATAAAAAAGTATGAATAATTTCTTATGAACATTTTTATGATTACTATTATACTATACAAACTACAAAAATGATCCATACTAAGAATCAAATGTAGCTTAATTCTTACATCTACATTCATAATATAGAACTTGAAGTAAAAGTAAAAAGTTAATCAATTAGCAATCTTTTTATTTAAAATTCTGCTTTTGATGTGAGATTACATTTTGAATATGGAGATTATTTGATTCTGCATAGACATATATATAAACAGATTCAAGACAGAACACAGACTGTATTATGCCATTCTAAAATATTCCCTTGAAATATTCAAGATAAGTTTATCTGATCACTATTTGTTAAATATTTTCTGTAAAAATCAAAACTATTTAAACCCTAAAAACATGAAATGGAACCTCTAACTTATAAGTGTACTGCTGAATAATCAAGAATAGTTTTAAAGATTATTATGTCCATTGAATACATTTCATTTTCAAACCATTAAAATATAATATTCCTTTCTCTGATGTTAAAAGGAATGATAGCAGATTCCTAATTCTCCCATATCAAGATATCTTGAGAAGGTAGAATTAGTAATCATCCATAAAATCTTTGCTCATTAATTTTGAAAATACTAAAAAGAAAATGCTTAAAATTTAAAGTACAAAGAATTTTCAGAATAAAAAGACAATTTAATATTGTTATATTTTGTATGTTATCTTCACACACAATAATTAATTTTGCATTTTTTTAAATACATATAATTTATGCATTTATATCATATACCTGGCACTTCTTGTTTTATAGATTCAGTAAAAACAGTCTTTTTAACATTGCCAAAAGTTTCTTAACTTTTGGCAATGTGTCTGTTTGAAGACATTAAATGTTAGCTTCATTTAAGTTATTTGCAAACATTCCATTTCCAAACAGAACTCAAATTATTTTGAAAACAATTAATATATTGATAATTAAATAAAATACTTTTCATATATAATAAATATTTAAAATCTAATGAATTATTCATAAACTCATTGCTATTATATTCAACTTTAATGAATATAAGTAATTATTCTAAAGTTTAATATATTTTTTTATTAATATATGAATTACAAATATATTCAAATAATTACCTTTACAATTGTTTTTTTCTTTGTCTGTTCACTGACTCGTTCCAATAATGGTATTAGATCAGATTCTTGAAGCTTTAAAAATAAAATTATTATTGTAAAATCATTTCAAATAAGCATATTTATTATTATATCAATTACTATAATAATTTTTATTGTTTGAACTTTGATATTTGAAGTAAAATAATTAAACAGTATGCTACAAAATAAACAATTTTACTGTACATAAAAGCAAATAACAAATTACATTCAATTTTAATAAGGTTAAAATTTGATTTCATATATTTTTTGAAAAATGAACAGCAATAAAAATAGTTAGATTATTGTTCTTATGTATATATTATTGATTAATAATTCGTTTTTGATAGTACATGGATTCATCAATGTTAATAATTGTTATTTGGATAAATAGAGAAACTACATAAATTTTATAATTTAATAAATATAAATTACTAAATATCACATAAATGAATTTACCTTTCCTTGAATCTGTCCAAGTCTTGCCATCTGAATTAGCATATTTTCTATCATTTTAGCTTTTTCAGGTTTTGCAATACCTATAGTACTTACTGTGAGCAGTCAAAAGTTTTTAAAGATTGATTTGGAAATCTCTCTTATAAAAAATATTAACAACTTTAAAATCTATATTCACTTACAAATAGTTGTTACTTAATTATTATTACTTAATAGTTGTTACTTAATAATTAAGATTATTATTAACTTTTTATTATTTAATTATTGAAGTAAATTAATTAATTCAATATATACTTTACTACACTAATACTTAAATAAATGTATTTCTATATTCATTTTTCAAAAAAGTGTTAAAGCAGGTTCATATTTTGTGAGAATGGGAGATAGAGAGGAATGTCTCTATTTTCTTTTCTAATATTCTCTTTCCATAAACATTAATACTTCAAAACAAGAAAAGATAAACACACATGCATTTTCAGTACTTGCACTTAGTTATAATGAACAGCAATTATAAATCCAAAGAATAATTCACTTCTCTTTTTAAACAATTTGTTTTGATTTAGCACATTTCAACAAATTTGTCTTTTTAAAATTCTCCATTTGAATTAAATTCTAACAAAAAATATTTGTACTTCATTTTTTTTAGAAAAGTGCTGTAAAAATATTTTCAGAATTTGCTTTTAAGGTCTATGCTTCCTGTCTGACCTTATCAGACATATGCAACAAAGACTATACTCTGAAATATTACTGAGGTTCTTTGACCATACAAATTCAGTTCTGGGACTTCAGAGTGGTAAACTAACATCTTAATCAGCTGCCAAATTGATTTGACTTTTTTTATGAGTTGTTTAAACACATGTAGCAACAAACAGTCTTTCACTCTAACCTTATTCCACAATTGAGGCAGTCAGTAAAAAATTAATTTGAAGTTTTATGATTTGTTAGAATAATTACACTTTTTCTGATTTCTTTCAGTACAGAATAGTTTTTGTATGCTCTTTGATGTTAAAATCTAGAAGTATTTTGAGTTTAATTACAAAAGTCAAATAAAAAAACAGAATTTGTGCAAATACAAGTTTATTAAATATGTTATATATACTGATAAATAAGTTATAAGTCTTTCTTCTGATTTATTAACTAAAATTGATTATTTTGTGTTAACACATCCTATTATATTAATTGGTTTATCATAATATTTCTCTAGTTTTTAAGGTCTGAAGCAAATCTTCTATTTTTCCATACAAACAGTATTTTTTTTACACAGATTGTTTGGACATGATAAACCAAAGAATGTAAAAACAGATTTAGGTTTATTATTTAACTAAACTATTTCATCAAATCTATCATTGTAAATTTAAAATAAATATAGATTTTATTTCATTTCTAAAGTTTTTGTGTAGGCTTTTCAATTCAATACTTATTTGAGTTTCTGTCTTTGACAGTTGACAAGAAAAAGATTCCTCCTTTCATAAGTTTTACTATATTTTTTAAGACTGTCAATGTTTATTAATGAATTTAATTTTGTATCTTAAATAGTTTTTGTTATAAGAACATTTTCAAATATCTAAAACCAAATATTTGAAATAATTTAAAAATCTCCTTCATTGCAGTTTATAAACTGAAGAAATATCATTATTATTCAGCATATTAACAACTCCCTTATAATCAAGATATTTTCAGGGAAAAATTATTCCTAATCTTCAAAAATATATTCATAAAATTATAATGGCTATAGAATTTCATATTAATAATAAATTTGGAATTACAAAATTCATAAATTATGTAAACTGAAGCAGATGTATTGATACTTAGATGTAATAGTTGTTATAACTTTTGACAGGTTGCCAACAGAACCATTTTAGAGTTGAAAGCAGTTGCTAATTTAGTATCAATGTTTTTCCAAAACAATCGTTAGTAATTGTTGTAAACTTTTAAAAACCCTATCAAAAATAAATAGTGACAAATTTTTCATTTTATTCACATTGTACTTTGTTTTATCTATTGACTTATGATTTATAACAATTTAAAATAGAGTTTACATATTTTAAGTTATAAGCTCAAATTATTTTTCCAACATTAAAAGAATGTTGCTTATGATTGTAATTGAAAATATAATTAATTAATTCTGATATGTAACATAAATCTTCATACTAAATAATAGAATTTCTCAACTATTCTGTATTAAAGTCACTAAAATGCTTAATTAATTTTACATAGAAGAACTGCTTACATCTTGCTCTGGCTTCTTGAGTTAAGACTTGAGTTAGAACGTGATTTCTGAATTCTTCTTCTTTAATTTTTCTCTCTTCTTCTTCGTTCTGTCGAGATCCTTGATTTCCCTAAAAATACAAATAGATGCCATTTAAGAAGAGTGAAGTTTATTTTCTAAATATATCATATTAAAATTTATCTCAAATTAACTGCATATTGCTGCTGGAGTTCTGCTAGACGTTTAGCACGCAACGCTTCCAACTCTGTATCCGCCATTTTCTACATCAACGCCACCTTTCGTTTTGTAATTTTATGAAAATTTAAATTTTATATTATTAACAAATAAATTTAGAAGTAATGTATTCGTTTAAAATAGGAAAGAAAAAGATTGTATTAAAATATCAAAAAGTAACATAAAAATTTATTATATGAAATAATTTTTAAATATCGCGTAATTTTTTATTGTCTGTTAATTAACTTTTTGCTGATATCAATACGCAATGGCGGATTTACCAGGAAGAAAAACAATCGATTACTCGAGGCCCCGTGTTGAGAGAAACCCGTCGGAATACTTCTGTTTATTATTATTATTATTATTATTTTGCAGAAATTGTCTTTTGATAATGTGATTGGGCAGTTCGCGGCTGAGAAGAGTCGGAAAAAGTTGTGATGTAAACGATATACTAAAAATTATATATATTAATGATATATAAGTTTAATTCTTTCTTCAGTTTCTGCCTTTTGTTCTGACTTTTTTTTTCTTAGTTGAACAGGGCCCCGAAAAAATTAAATTGCTTGGGGACCCTTTGACGGTTCTGTCTATTTGAGGAAATACAGTAGATATTGTCGGAAATGGAATTCATATTGAGTGGGACTCGAACTTTAAGTTTCTTAATGAAAATTTAATTCTCATGCAACAATATGTTTTTATTATTTTTTAATTTTTTTTATTAATTTCTTATCTATTTAGAAAAATCAGACAGCGGGATAACGGACGGTATGTCTTGCGAATTGATTGATTGATTAATTAATTCCGGGCATCAGCATATCGTAAACTGTATAATCGACCACAATTACATCCATAAACGAGAGGAATTAACTCTCAATGAGATTGAATAGTATAGACAGGGTTATTAGAGTTAAGGTTATTCGACTCCGAGAAAATAGGTCAATTTTACTGTGGTTCTTAAGTGATTAATACGGGCACACCAGTTGGTTGAGATAGTAAACGACATACATTAATAAAAGTAGTAACTTTTAGACTAAAACTAAAAAGACATTCAAAATACAAAAAAAAAAATTATTTAAGATATTACATTTTACTTTTAAGTAAAAAAGCATGTAAGAAGCAATTTATATGATTTCGCCATTTTTTTACTTTAAAATTATATGATTGTTTCTGGTTTATATTTTTATTTTAAAAATCTATGCTTTAAAATTAGAAATTATAAAAGGTGCACGATTATTTCTTTTGAAATTTATAGTCTAAACTTAAATTAAAAACACATTTTAATTAAAATATTTTATAGCAGAAATAAACAAACATGTAACACTAATACAAATATCTATAGGGCCTACCAAATGTATTACAAGTGAGTTACAAGATTACTTGTATTTTAAAAGTAATATAATTATAAAAATAAAATACTGTAATTGATTTTAAGGATAATTTTGACAATATGATGTAAAATATTTCTATCATCTCATTTTTACAGATATTATATTTACTACTGTCTGCTGTTTCAAGTCATGTTATGTTTCTACTAATTATTAGACTATATATTATTTATTTAATTATTTTTTGTAATGCTTTACATTTCATTAATAAAGTAACAATATATTAATTATTATTAATTTATTCAAAATATGATTTAAAATATTAGTGCCAATTAACTGAGTTTACTGTAGATATATTTTTATTATTATGTATACCACTCAAAAGAATGTAGCAAGGCTTTCATAAATTAGCTTAGAAAATGAAATAAAACCAGAATGGAGAAACATATTTTATAAATTCTTTTTATGAAAACAAGTTTTAGTGCGTCGGATGTAGTGTGGTTCTTTACAAGTTCTCTTAATTTCTTGTTTGATTCATTACATCCAGGAGCAGCACATGCATTCCTCATTTATCTACTGAATGTGAAATAATATCAAACACTTTAACATTTTGTCATTCATATCAGAATAAGATTGAAATATTTCTTAATGATACAGATAATAATGTTAATGTTAAGCTGAGAGCACGAAGATAGTCATAGCGAATGAAACACGTTGTTTTCGTGTGACTTTTAAAGCAATGACTTCTTTTAAAATTTATTGTTACTAACGAGCAATTATTTATTGTGACATCTTCACAATGCCGGGCTGCAATTTTTAATTATATTTTTAATTTATTTAATTTAAAATATATGCTCTCCACTTCAATGTACAGGGACAAGTAGTGGCTTATCCCTGTACATCATACTTTTTCTTTAATTTAATAATAGAGTCGTGCCGATCATCTAACATCACATATTTATTTATTTATTTACGTCGCGCATTGCTGCGATCTCAGAAGAAACGAAATTCAAGCAAACTCGTTATGATAAAATTCAATTTACATTTTATCATTTTTATTGAAACTTATTATTATTATTCATTTTCATCGGGAAAACATTTCAAAGTGTTGTTTCAATTTTATTTATTTATTGGAGTGTTTGTGGATACACGATACAAGGTCTGTTCAAAAAGTATCGGACCTTATTTTTTTCCGCGTAAACCAATGATGCGAGAGAGGTCTCCTTCGGTGGAGTTGTGGAGGGGACAGTCATGCACAGCCCTGAATTTTTTCCCGCCTGCAGGAAGCGTCAGTCGTTGGCAATCG